TTGCTTGCTTTGGGCTAGGTTCGATCAGGGATTCGACCCCTGGTACGTGTGCGGATGAGGTGGTGGCCTCTAACACTACGTATCTGTTTGAAGTGGACACTCGACATGGGTTAATGGTCATTTTCCGGCTATTCCTTAAGGTAATGTGGACACATTAGGTTATACTTTCGGGAGAAAAATTTCGCCAGTAAATGCAAGTTCCACATTTTTACGATTATGATAGGATTCAGGAAGAGATTAAATCCATGGAACCTGATGGGAACATTCTCTGTCCTGTTTGATTATTCATGAGTTGTGGAATTGTCCATTTTCGTTCACATTGCAGGAGTTTCTACGAGTTGTGCTGCGTGTGAAGTGTGATGCTGACTGTGACAACATCGAGGCTGCCTCCTAAACTTCCAAGTGTGCTGCGCTTGTTAAAGGTTACAGCAAGATCATTAGTTCAATTACTAACTCATTCGAGCGGTTAAATGTTTTCATTTAGATCTGGGGAGAAGCCTTCCCTCATATTTTTTCAAGAAGCGATTCAATACACAGTCTGTTGAAGATAATTGCCTCCGATTCTCCAAAGGCAGGTAAGTTGTAGAAGTAACCGAATCATTTTTTCCCAACTCCTGCTTCCATTCTATACGGTTCTAATTTCTGTTACAGTGGAGATTGGGCTTCAAGTGCTGTACCATATCACCCTCCAGTCAAGTTTCAAAGTAAAAGAGCAGGAATGGTGCAACACTGCTATTTCTGTAAGTCGCCCTTAATTTTTTGTAGTGTCGCATGAAATTTTCTGTTGAGATTACCTCGGGTATTTGGATTTCTGGCGTTATGGTGTAGTCTCAAGGGGTGAGCTGAATTTGGAAAGGTTTTCACGCAGTATATCATCGCCGTATCGCTGCTTTCCTTTTTGTGCTTTACCTGAAAATACAGCGACTAAACGAAATAAGCGATCATTCCTCATCGATATTCAAAACTTCATGGATTGTACGGTGCGGACTGCCACTCTGAAAACACCGCTTACCTTCTGCAAGCCCACGTCAACTCGCATATGAGCTGAGCTGGCTTCAAGAAACACCTGGAGCTCCGTTGACTCGCTTAGGCTGGTGTCAGAGTCCGCGATCCTTTGCGCGATTTTCGCGATTTTCGCGATTTTCGCGATTTGCGCGACGGGTCACGGAAATCACAAGTGCCCCATCCATACTGCAAGGTGTTCTCCAATCCCGCCGTCACTTCTGCTTGATGGTTATGGTTTAATGGAGACTGCTCATGATTCCACTTGTTTCATATCCAGTGTTTCAATTGTTCAAATGGGGCACTTGCAATTTTTGTGATTGGTTTGGTTTGATTCCTGAAAAAATATCAAAATAGACAAAACGGCAGTGCACGCATGGCTCACAAACAATATTACCAGAAGTACAACTCACTCCCAACGGCTCTTACGCGTATTTGCAAACGCTCGTGCGCCCATGAAAAAAAAAAGAAAAAAATAGGAGACGATTCAAGAGCATTTCAATGAACTAATAGACATTGAACATGAAACAAGTAGAACCACAAACATTCGTCTTCCAATCTTTACTGCCAAGCAGAATTCGCAGCAGGATTAAACAACACCTCGCAGTATTCATCGGGCACTTCCAACTCCTGTGATCCATCGCAGGTTTCGCGAAAATCGCGCAAATCGCGCAAATCGCGACGACTCTGACACCAGCCTTAGCGTTTTCTAGCTGTAGTGCACCCTCACGGACATAGGATCTAGTGTCGGAAAACCCTTTTATTTTTTTTGTCAGATTCTCCAGCGCTCTGCCCATTCGGACGGGCTCCTCTCTCGTTGAGTATCTGAGGAGCGATTCGTGAGCTCAGCACTGGTTAAAATGCCGAGAAGCGGACGGCTTCAGTAGTCATCGGAGGTGTGCACACGAGAGCAGCGCAAATGTATTTTGGCAAGGCAATGATCACAAAAACTGGCGAAAAGATAATTTTGACTTAACCTGATTCTCAAAACCATGCAGTATTATCCGCCATAAGGTACTACTGAAGCTTTGTTCTTCACTATCTTCTTTGCGAAGTGTATCTTAATTCACTCACTATCGTGACATACACGTTCTACATAGACAACTTTACGTCCAACAGTGCGAGCACATACAATTTACAATAGAGTACCCGGCATCCTAACGACGTATAGCAGCCTAGTACCATTCTCAATCACGACCAAGATATTATACCTATCTTAAGTTCAGAACATCGCGTATCCATAGTAAGGCCTTAAGATCACAAGATCGTTTCGACTCGCGAAGAATTGTTAATTGTTCTCAGATAGTTCAGACACGAGGTCTTCTCTTTCCGCAACTTCCATCAAGAATCTGAAAAGAAATAATTCTACTAAATTGCGCACAAGCAGTTAGATTAAAACAATCGCAATCAATTCTAGATATCGCTTCTTAGTAGATCAGAGAAAAATAGCTGCGGCCGCCTTCCGATAGTAAACTGAGAGTCACGTAAAGCGGATAATAACAACGCACGCTCGTCATCTCTGAGAGCGGAGTACCTTGCAGTGCATCTGTTTTGCTAATCCGTTCGTTAATATTTCAATTCTCTTTATTCTAAACGAACTCTTGGCCTCCAATAGGACGCTTAGTCTTAATGATCTGGGCCTCGTCGATATCAGTTCTTAGCTTTGAACACAATATCTGAGTAGTTCGATTTTTGATTTAGTTATGCTCTTATCCCCTGTCCTGTCTGTTTTCTTGCTTCAACCCCGTCTCTCGTAATTCGAATCCAACTATTTCGCACATTTCGCGCCGACTATAAATCGCGCCCACTGTTTCTCACTATGCCATATGCAGTGAATTGTCGTACAGGCGGAGGTCTGTGTTCCATATAGTAATATCATTCTCGAGAGAATACGTTCAAAACTCCTAACACCAACGAATAGAGCTCTCGTGAGATAATACGACCAATATAGACGACCTGACGGATACCTATGGCAACGCACAACCGCAGTTAAGACGACGGACACAGTGGCATGTCGAACATTATTGTGCGCAGAGAGAGGAAACTCCACACTCACGCTTACACCAAAACATACTATCCTAGAGCAATGATAGCAATCCTTTATCCAATTGAGTACCTTCTTGTACGTCACGCATACGAACACCACTGCCATGTGTCCAAGAACTGAGCACTGCTTAGGCCTTGTGGAATAGGACATCACACAACATACTGCATCGTCACACAACTCTCGAATTCCCCTGTTCAAGGATAAAACACAACACCACGCTTGCCAACGTGAGACGAAAGCCTAATTCCTTAGGCTTTCACAAGAATGCTGGGTTGTGAACAAAACTTTCGCCCCAGGCGGGACTAGAACCCGCACCTCTCGCTTTGGTTCTAGTCCCGCCTGGGGCGAAAGTTTTGTTCACAACCCAGCATTCTTGTGAAACATTCGCAACGCGAACTGCGGCGTTAAAACAGCAGTTAACAAACAAAACAAGTCATTCCTAGTGGTTAAAGGCACGCTCCGCGATCAGGCGGGCTCGCCTGTTCCATCCAGGGGTAGTAGGCAGGTGGACAAGTGTTGATGTCGGGCCCCTTTTGCGGCTTGAAAGTACGCGACAAAGGCGCAAGGAGCTCGTCCAACCCGCAACTCACACCTTCGTCCGCAAGCCCCACCCTCCGCTGTCGGTTGCCACGTGGCGCTGCTTGAAAAGCGCGGGCGCATTTGAGGCAGCGGTCCCAGCGCGATCCAATGTTATTGGCACTGGAGCAACTAGAGTTAGGTTCGTGAAACTCGTCCAATTCGCCTCTTCTCTATCCCAAGGTGGCTGAAATAGAGGTCTCTGTACGGGGCGTAATCGGTGGTTTCGTTTGCTTTCCTTCTCTTTTACAGACCACCTCCCACCTATAGCTTCATAACTGAACGCTTTTCCACACCTATTTTATCCCGAATCTTGCCTTTTAATCATTTGTTTAGGAAATCGAGGAGCGAGTGTCCATGGACAACCCAAGCGCATGCATAAATGCGCTACAAGTGATCTCCGAATTTCACCGTAATTTGCCTAGAGAATTTGGTACTCGAGTGAAGACTCTCATTGCTGAGTTTGTCGTTCCCGGGGTGAGTAGTTTCTTCGATTTCTGATGCCGTGGAGACAATTTCTTTTTTATAGCTCATTCTGAGTCCTCTATCGGAAGAAGTAGAAGATTCTCCAGCAGACGACCTGCAGGTCCCATTGGAGGAGCAACCAGTGTCTAGGTTCTGTCTCCCAAAGGTTGGATATTGTCATTTTCCCAATTTGTAGTGCTGTGTAGACTTGTAACAGCATAAGATTATGCCATGTGTCAAACTTTGCGAATCCATGGATTCGCTAGCAGTTCGAGAGGTACGAGCGAGCCAGCGAATAAGCATAAATTTGCTGGTGCATTTTTCGAAACGCTGGCCATCGCTCGTTCCTCTCGAATTGCAACGAATCCGTGAATTAGATAGCGAAGCCATAGCTTCACAAAGTCTGAAAGCTGCCTATGGAGTAATTACATGGATTATTGCAGGTATACGGTATGAAATTACTGGCTCGGTATCTGTTCACGTGTAGTGGTGAAGTTGAAGATGATCCGTTGGCTTTGAAAACATTTAAAATGTTTGGGGCATTCATTCAAGCTGCTGGTGATTTGCATGATAAAGACAAAAATATTTCGTAAGTACAATTATCTTCTTATTTTTTACATGTCGCCCTTCCTTCGTTCCACATTTTTTTTCTTTTCCACAGCATGTTACATAAACAAACTTCTTGCGTTAGTTGTTATAATTTTTCAGTTGCGTGTGTTCAGAGAATCAAATTATGCAATCGATTCCTTTGAAAATATGAGGGCAGCGATGTAATTTAAAAGAGTAGACTGGAAGCTACTTTGAAGGCATTTGGAAATGATATGCACAAACGCAGTAATGGCGGCGAGTCAGGAATCGGAGAAAGAGTTTGCTTCCTGTGCCGTAATCGAGTGGGAATATGACGCCGCATCATTTTTCCAGTAGGTCTTCCGACTAACTCCAGGCATCTCTGACAACGAAACATCGTGGGCTTTCGCTTTTGTGGCTAGTAGCTTTTATTTTGATCTTTGCTTGTGAGTGAAACTTTTCCAAATATCCCCGCTTCGCATTATGGTGGTTATGAATTGACCACTCCCGCTACTGCACGGCCCAAGGTATTTTCCTATTCGTCCAGGGTCGATCAATTAGCGCCAGATCAGGCCGCCTGGTTTGTGGTCCAGGTGACCATACAGTTCATAGCCCAGACCCCTCGTTCATTCGAAAGCCTTTTTAGTTTTGAATATTTGTCGAATGCGTGGCGCGTTTCAGTTAAGAAATCAGCGCTTTGGTGACAGCGCGGGACAAACGTCCCTCGCACCTCGCGGGCCACATGGAATAGCGCCGGTCGTGCGTGTCCTGCACCCATATAATTCTTTTTTTCGTGTCCGCCATTGTCCTCAACTTTCTATTCATTCTCTAGGGCACACCTTTCACACTCTATTCATTCTCTAGGGCACACCTTTCACACTCCCATGTGCAAAAAGTAGTAGATGAAAATGGAAAACTTTGGATAGCGGAGGGTAAGTTTTTATTAAAACGATCGAGACAAAAATGCTGTCGGTGTACACTTCAGCAGCAGTCAATAATTTTTGCTTTTATCATTGCTACTGCACATCCACTTGACCGGAATTCCACTATTTTATCCCTATACGCACTGATCATATTTGAAATTATGAAACTTTTGAAATTAATTATTTTGTGCCTTTCATACCTTGTTATTCATCACTCGAAGACCATGATGTAAGGCGAGGCAGCCACGGTCGCAAAATAGCCCCTGCCTCACACGCAAAGCCGTGATGCGCTGTTTTCAGTGTGTTTGAATCGAATGATCTGAATCACATTTATCTAGGCAATAGTTCATGAGCGTAGATGGAGTAGAGATAATAAGTGCAGTCGATGTTGCTACGCTAACGAATTTCGCAGCAAATCTCTCTCAGATTGGCCACTCCTTTCTCCCCATGAGTTAATTAGTGGATAATATAGTTATTCGGCAAGCCGAAAACTCTAAATTTAACACTGAAGGACTCCTTAACTTCGTTTCCTAAATCAACCATACTTTCACGGCTTGAGATACCATGGTGGGATGACCTATTACATGCAACAACAGTTGACTACCAAACGCATTGTGATTCGTGGGAATTCTCATTTTCATGTGTTTTTCTTGGTCGTTCAATTTTCGTCGCACATTCCAGGAAAGTCGAAAAGGCTTGGCTACGTGCTGTCGCTGGAGCCTCGCTGCTGAAGTTGTGCTATATCCAAAAATATTCGCAGATGATTGATGTCGAGATGTTCACTACTCTTGCTAGCCTAATCATTGTAAGTGAGAACTTTGTTCCCTGCTTATGTATGCTTCTGAAAAAGAATCACTGTTTATAGGATAGCGCCGACTGTGTTCGCTCCTATTTCGTTAAACGTTTGAACAAAGGAATAATGAGGAACAGGTAAGTGCGTTAAGCCGCGGTTATAGCTTGCAACCGTTTTGCACTTCGATTCGAAGTCCGAATTGGTGTAAATGAGGATCCAGATAACGGTCTTTAGGTTGTGCGATCACAAAATCGCGCGTGTATACTGCACGCAAGATCGCGATCGCAAGCTATGACCGCTTCCTTACTATGTGACTGCGGCATCCACGTAATATTTCCCCTTTTTAAGGCTCACTGTTGAATACTTGGCACTCTTCTCGCTGGTTGATTTATTAACCATTACTACCGATGAGGAGGAATCGACCGTCAAGTCGTTCGTTTTTTGTCTCATTTCCAACATAACACGCTCCTCGTTTTGTATCATTCAAATATATTAAGTAAGTTAAGGTATCGTGAACAGTGCCGCGCATTTCTCACTTCGGCCGTGAACAGGAGACGACGCCTCATTCAATCTGCAGGATTCTCCCCTAGTCAGTTTGTTATACTTTGCTTTTGTTCTAGCCTATTTGCCCACTTTACTCAGCGACGAATGATATGATAGAGTGGGATAGGCACAAGCTCTGTGTATCACGATCTACTCAATGTGCACCATATTTTCTGCGGGCAGCCGTAGCTGTCTGTCAGACCTGAACCACTCTTACCGTGATGAATCGCTCTTCCTTATCACAGTCCTCGAAACACGGCGAATTTTCTGGAAAGCGGAGTAGAGAAATCGCGATCAGAAAGGAGAAGCTGCTAGTGAGTAGGGGCAGTAGAGGTCGGTTTTCGACAGTGGCTGGAAGACAGCATGTGGCTGTAAGGCGCGTTTTCCCCCTCAGTGGATTGATTTACGAGTTTTGGTGCGCTCATTGTGATTGAATTTTATTGGAGTGTACTTTCTTTATATTGACTCATAGCTTTTGTATCCTATTCTCTAATCCGTCCCAACTTGAATTAATCCATTTTTGATTTTCAAAAATAACCCACTGTTACAGCAAGTAATGGTGGTATTCACCATTACTTGCTGTAACAGTAGTTAGTTATTACTTGCTGCAACAGTAGTTAACAATAGTGGGCCGTTTGGGACGAGGCGTTCACTTTTTAATGAGTGCTTGATGCGAACCTATTTTTTATTTTTATTAAGGGAGGATGGGAGCGAAGTCACGGAACCTTTTTTCATGTCACATGTGGTATTGTAGCCTGGTTAGGTTGAAGTAGCAGATTTACGGAATCAACATCAGGGATCCGATCCATTTCCGCGTTTTTTTTGCTTCATTATTGGGAAGTAGTTAGTCATGCGCTTTTCTTGTTGCAACTTTATTTTGATTTTTGCTATGAATTTTGATTATGCGGAGTCTATCACATGCAGGAACGTCCCAGTGATTTCGCCTGTAGATGAGATACTTACCAAGAATCAAAACATATCCTGAAGACAATTCTCGTGGAAAATGGAGATTTTCACTCTGACATTGAAACGTAAGATTAGCCTTGTGGGTGGGGATGCCCTCTTGATTGCTGATGAACTTCTCAGTAGTCTACGAATTTCTCACAAAATTTGTGTATCACCACTTAGCCTCCAGCCCGTAAATGCGGCAGTTTGCCACCCGTGCGGGCAGTTTTGTCCACCCGCAACGCTTAGAAATTCGTGCAACAGCGTTTTCAGCGACCTGATCATGAATACATTCGTTTTTGTTGCCAGCGCCATATCCCTGATCCGGGAGCGGAATAGAACCTTAAATATAGATTTCAACGAATTTGGGAGTCGTGTGGAATAAAGCCATAACAACTAGCATTCACAAGTTTTCCATGATTTAGTCTTCTAACATATTCTTATTTCCAAAGAAAAAAAAAACTAATTGACGAAGAAAAAAAGTTCGATAGATGTATCATGTCTCTTGCATGTTGGTGATCTCTATGCGTCTCGAAGTTCGGTCTCAAGTAACTCCAGCAACTTTGTTCATACTTCGGCGACTATAGCTGACAACTCCTAATCAACGTCCACCGACATGAGGTGAGACGGCGGCGCTCGCAGAATCGCGCCCGTTCCATGCGACCAAAAAGCCAAAACACCACCTGTCACCCCTGAATATGTTAATCAATCATTCAATGGTCGAGCAAATTTTCAGTAGCTCCTGGAATTTTGCTCTACATATGAAGTGAATGGCGGTATAGTGAAAAGATGTTTCTTAATTTTTCAGTGTATCTACCATACCATCAACCGGAATATGCTATCGCGTACTCTATATGGCTTCTCGCCCAGCAGCCAATGCTTACTGGTCATACAGATTTGAGAAATCTGGCCATTTTGCAAGAGTAAGTTTTTATCTAGAATGTTTCTTCCCATTTTACCTACTTCTTCCCTCTTTAGTCAAGAATTCGTTTTAGCAACGAAACTGGATAGCAACTGTGATATTAACAAGCCGTATTTAGATGTTTATGGTTCGTAATGGAACCATTCATGTCCAAAAAGGAGAGCACAGATTTCGAATTCATCTATCGAATGTTGCAAGACGTGAAAGAATCAAATGATGCACACCATGAGAAGAGACGCAAAAATGGCGAGATAGGTCAGGCTGAGGTCGTTGGACAAAGCAAGGTTTGTAGTGTGTGAATCTCTGCATAAATATAGAGGCATTAGTCGAAGGAAGTGCTTGTTCTCTTCAGAAGATGTGGGCATTGGCCGATTTGGGCATGCTGATGTTGACCTATAGAGGAAAGGTCACTATACGACATGAACCACGCAAGCCACTTTTGTCTAGCCGATTTTTCGTTCGCGACAAAAATTCCGAACATGCGGGAACGGTGAGGTCATGCTGTGTTTTGGAGGTCGTCCAGTTTGTTTAGATATTGGATCTGAATTCTGCACTTTGTCAAGTGAACGTTTAATTGAGCTTTCAAGGTTTGTGCTCCTCATGAATTGATCGAGGATGAGAAGGAGAGAAATGGTAAACCGCCTACAGAGTTGAAACGACGTTTGCTTAACACAACCAATGTCACGTTGTCAAAAACGAAGGCCGGCTCCAAGAAAACAAAGTAATTCCTTTTCTAGGGTTTTACAATCGCATTTGCTGCAACTTTTACTTTTTTCTCTTTTATAAGGTGCTTATTGTTCGTTCTCATAAGCACTTCTCAGGAAACTTCACAGTCCTCGTGTAAACGCCAGCAAAGCTCGAAATCGCGGCGATTCCGTTTCTTCACCGAAAAGCATTGTTAGTTCGTTGACGTTTTCTTTAAATATAGAACCCTTTTTTGTTGAGTCATTGATTTCTCAAATTGTTGTAATGTCATAATATAGGCAAGCCCTGTGACAACACGAAAGAAAAACGCAGACGCTGAAAAAGACGCGCATCGTGAAGCCATTTCATCACCGGATAGTAGTGTGAGTTTTTTCTAAGTTATTTCTTTATGCATAGCATAAGCCGTGCTCTTCACTAGTTGACCATTTCTGCAAGAGTATCTCGACGATCCCCGCATGTTCATTAGAGGTAGTAAGGGATCACTAAAGGGGTTAACGTAAAGAAGTGTTAGAAGCTTAAGGACATCCGTCTGTTCTCAAGGCTCTAAATAGTCGACTGTGCTGATGTCGAATCCGAATAAGACACGTTCCGATCTCGAAGTCTAAAATTTGATCTTTACTCTTATCTTTTCGTATTATTTGCGTAAAAACCGCAGTTGATTTCTTAAGACCACATGATTCGATTGGGAAAGTTTAAGTCAATTGCGTCTTGTCATCAAACCATTCCTATGTTCTCATTTGTGCACATATTGCACAAAGGTACTAAAAGGGAGTAGAGCTTCGCGAGAGTGCGCATACAGCTCGCGTTTGATCCAGAAACTCTCAGCAACTGTAACCAGATGTTCTTAGCCACCTTAGACCACTTCTGCTACTAACAGCACATTTCTGCTGTTGCTCGATCACAGTTGCCACCAACCTGGTCATTACTGTAGGCAATAATAATTTCCTGTCGATCGTGGCTGGACGCGCGGAAGTGGTTTTGTGGCAAGTTGTGAATGTTGCCAGCTGTTCATCAGACCTCGGTATCAGACTTCCATTCTTCCAAATTGGTTCATTGGTACCAAACTCCTCTGGAAGGATTGAAGAATTCTATGTCGACTGGCCCGCCTCACTGTAGAAGCCGAGTCACATTCAAATGCTAATCCATATTTTCAATGGAGGCAGAAAGCATAGCGCATCCGTAAAGGAATTCATCAGCGCTGAATGCCTAGTCCTCTTTTACAACTCTTCGCAATAGAGCTCTCTCGAATAGATCGAACATCCTTGCAGTCTCTTTTTGACGTTAGATGAAGTGTAACTGATGAACTTCAATGTTCCCTTGAAGTGGTGCGTTAAGCATGTTGTTATTGCATGCCACATCGCATCACGCAACATCAGCATCACAGCAGCGTCTTAAAGATTCCGTAGAACATAAAAACCAAGAGCAACGGAATAAGACCCGCAAACGGGTCTGTTACTCTTGTTACCCCTTCGATCACTGCGCTAGACGAGTCTCAAAGGTGCTGACGTCACCAACAAGAGTGCTCTGCTCTGCCTCTGCTGAAAGCGCTAACCACAATGGCCCGGAACCAGCAGCCACTAGAGGCGAGCCAAGGCCCGAAAGAGTACGGAGAGACGGGTAAGCCTTCTTACGTCGATACCGGTGTTCCCTGTGGTCATGAATGCGCCAGAGTGCGCCTCCAACCATTAGGGAACAAGAGGTGGCGCTTTCATGGCGAAAAGGTGTGCGTAACGAGGTAACAAGGCTTAAGCCGTCTGTCTGGATGCCTTCGTACCTCTGCCCTCCCTTCGACTGACTATCCCAGCTAATAAATCCTCGACAGAGGAGCAGAGCAGAGCGTTATTTTGATGACGTCGTCAGTACCCATGAGGTTCGTCTAACGCGGAGCTCAGCGGGGAAGCAAAGTTTCGTTTTGAAGATTCTAGGTCCTTTCTCTAATTTTTTTTTCGGCACTGCTTCACCTTTCAACAGCTGCATTCCCGCAGGGGATCAATTTATCGTACTTGCCTTTAGGGCACATATAGTAGCGTGGGAAAAAAGTGTAAATACTACATGTAGGAAGCGATCTTTCTAGGAAGTTTTTGAAACCTCAATAAGTGATAGCGATTGAAAGGAGAAGTGTGAAACTCTCATTTCTTTCGGGAAGAAGAATACGGTGCAACTTTTTGCAGGTTCATAGTCCAACTACTACTAATCGCAAAAGGAACCTCCACGATGAGAAGGATAAGGATCACGGGGACGCTGTCTCTTCTCCAAAGAGCAAGGTAGTAATTCTAGTCTTTATAAAATCGTGTCGCTGCTCTCACAAAGCCACAACTACTTCTGAAATGGCAGGCGGTGTGCACTAATTCATCGCCTCATCCCCTTCAAAAAATGCGTAGCACTTATTATAACGCAAGCCTCAAGGCCGATAATCGATGTGACCACACTTATGTCATCAGGGTTGGATCCGGTCCCAACCTTGCGAGTTATTAAAAGTCGGCGTTTATTGGTGGATTTGGTTATATAATTGGTCGAATCCAATTACACATCTCTTCTTGAGCTTCGCTTTTGAAGGTCACAGATGAACTTCTTGCCGCAGAAATTGCAGAAACTTGTGAGAAATTCAAATAATCATTTCTGACTATTATCTGTAAGGTCTTCAAATAGAACAAGCGCTGCAGGCCTAATTTCAAGAATTCAGATAGCTGCTGAGCTTTCACTTCTTTTGAGAACGTTCCTGTTTGCAGAGCGATGCTGGCCTTACTCGCAGCAGGAGAGATCGAAAGACTGCGAAAGATGAACAAGAGAACATGGTAGTGCAAGAGAAATCGCGGCAACGGAACAAGAAAACGGTTTCATCGCCAGGACCTTCACCACCCAGTTCCCGTGGTTGGTTTGGTTCCTCCTAGCAATATGATAGTCCTATTTTATTGTCTACGTCACTGTTATATCGCTTGACAGCGCAAAAAATCAATGCGATATGGCTTGATAGAACTTAATTGACACACAATTCTGTCAGGGGTACTGCTTTCGCTTACGGTGCATTGCAGTCTTCAAATTCTTTCAATTACTGGGATTTTGGCAGAAATTTTTCCGTTTGAAAAAAAATATCAGGGGAATTATGGGACAACCTGAAAGTAAAACCAGCCCCCATCCTCGTACAGGGTGAGGTGAGCGTTAACTTTCGCACGATCCCATGAAATTCGGGCAAGTTGGAAAGCTGAATGACGGGCTGCTGCAGCCGTAGCGACCTCTCATTTTGAAGGCAGTGATTTAAAGTGTGGTTGGCGGGTTTTGATTTGGCAACCTCATTGATGGTAAGGCACGTCGACGGTCAGACCACACCCTCACTCCCCCTTTCCCTCACTCTCAAGAGGCTGAGGACAGACTGCCAACGTCCATTGTAATCACTGCCTATTCAAGAAGGCTCAGATGAGAGGGAGTGTTGAGATGTGATGTGATGTGTATTTGAAAAGAGGAGGCCATTGTTGGTGATAAGCTGGATGAGTTTTGAATGGTATTCTCTACAGCATTTATTCCTTTTTATCGGTCCTGGACGGTACTTGCGTACCGCGTCGATAGTGCGCCGATAGCGCCTCGGATGGGCACTGCTAGATCGCCGGGGATATATCCTTCACTGTGAATTGCGTGTCGGTCCGCACCTCTAGGGATCCGCCTGTTTTCCCACAAGGTGAATTTTCGCTTCTTTGACATTCGACCTTATCGTGGAATCATTTTGAGCACAGGATAGGGTTAGGAGACGCCATCAAGATTATCAAGTCATGCCATTGTCATATATCACTCGAAAGGGTCTTTCTGCTATATAGCAGCATATGTTTTACTTCCACATACCCTGCAAACATGTTGAGTTTGGGGTCTGCGAAATGTGGTACAGGTTGTTGAAATTTAGCGTAACCGACAGCTTCCTCTAACTTAATGTTTCCCCTAAAAAATCGATCAATTATGTATCCTCTACTTTCCATTAGTCACGACATCTGCTGAACATTCCATTAATTAGGTTGTTGAAAAAGCCTTGTCGCGTTCCTCTTCAATTCAGTCTTGCTGGTTGGCCGCGTTGCGGTTTTTGAGCTGAATTTTTTTTCTCTGACCCATTGTTTCTTATCGATTTATCCGTCATCATCCGTAAGCTACTCTTCTACTCTATTCGGCCGTATCGTTTGTTGTGATTTTTATTACGAATTAGGACAAATTTTAGGCCTACCTGATAAGGTGCCCAGTTTACGAGAATGACTACATTACTCCA